CGCCCCCCCACCCCAGCTCACCTCCACTCCACCTCCTCGCCTGAGCGGGCTTTTAGGCGCCCTCAACCACTAGGCGCCCTAGGCGGCCACCTAGTTCGCCTAGTGGTTGCACCGGCCCTGCAGGCAGTGAAGGAGGATGCAAAGTCAAGGGGGCAGCCGGAGTGTAATCAGCAATCAGAATGTGGTGCAACCGTTCCTCCTTGTGGCAGGTCTGTAAAACTGCACCTCTATGTCTGTCCCATTGGATCCTAATGCCCACCTGCTGGTTGCAGAGCTGTCTCCGCTCTCTGCTAGGGGCTGCTGGTCCGGCTTCCAGGTGCAGAGCAGGATAGCATAGCCACAGCCTGGCTGGGACACCATCATCTCGGGGACACCATCAGGGCCCGGGTTCACAGAGAGGCTGTCCACCTGCACCAGCCCAGGAACAGTAAGCAGGATTGTGAGTGGAAGGACTGTACATTTCCTAAAGGGAGGGAGTGTGTGTGTGTGTGTGTGTGTGTGTGTCCCCGTGTCCCCAGCCAATACTTTGGCAACATCCAGCAAATGCCCCCATCTCCCCCAAAGCAACAGGCTCTCTGGAGAAGCAGGTTTCTGCCAGAAAGTCAACTGGCACTGAACTAAGTTCAACAAAGGAGGCGACACATCCAGCCCCATGTTGGGGGACACAATTCTTTTTCCCCAAAAGAGAATGGAAGCACATAGTGGGTTGCCAATTTTGGTTGGCTGTATTCCTGGATGTTTCATCATGACATAATCTTTAATTAAAGACTCCAGGACAATCCTGGAGGGTTGGCAACCCTAGATTCATAGAGAGCAGATCAAGGGTAAAGCAGCTGACTGGACACCCAATCACCTGCACCTGTCAGCTGCCCTGCACACACCACACAAACTGTGGGGGGAAATTCACTCCTGAAGCACCCATCGCTGATCTTTTGTTCAGAAGACTGGGGCTTGGCTCCTCTTCCTTTGGAGGGCCCTGCCCTTTGGGAAACCTAGCTCCTGAAGTCCATACTCAACATACCTCCATCTAGGGCACTCTGCTTCCTACCTGCCCCTCCAGCAGCCACTTCTTCAGCAGCACCAGCTGGCCGGAGATGTGGTCGGAGCTCTCAGACAGGTCCTCCCAGCGGAAGGCTCGCACCACACGGTCCGTGTAACCCACCACCAGCTCGAACTTCCCATCTCCATCTGCAGGGGACACAGGGAGACAACAATGGGTTCCATCAAGGCATCACAGTCCCACTGCCTGCAGGCACGCTTAGCATAGAGCCACACAAGCGTCTGCTGTACCATGATCCCAAAGATCCTTAGTGCTCGGATACCACAGTGAAGGGCACCTTAGAAAAATCTCAGACCTCCGAGCTCCCCAACAGCTCATGTACTGCAGCACCCCAAAAGCCACAAGGTCTTCTCTCTTCTAGGGCTAAGATGGGTTGGGTTCCTGCTTACCTCATGTTCTGGTACATGCATTGCCACGCTGAGCCCCACGTGCCTGTTCTACTCTTACCATCACCATGTGCTTGAGCTCCTGCTCTGCCCCCTTCTACCCCACATGCTCACCAATGTCGTTGATCAGCATGACCTTGGTGTTGGCGGGAATGTGCTGCTTGAACACCAGCTTCTGCTCTTCTGCCAGTGGGGGTTCATGGTGGCCAGAGGCATCTGAATGCTTTGAGGGTGGAGGAGTCAGATCAAAGAGATGAAACCAGCCCTCGGCACTCACGGCAACAACCAGATTCTGAGAGGAGAGGGAAGACCCTGAATCAATAGAAGAGGTGGTGAGATTGCCTGCAACAGTCCTCCATGGGGGCAAGGGCAGGGCCATCAAGATGAACAGTGACTACACTGTGAGCTCTGTCTGCAGGGCCAATTGTTACAGTGATTGGGTAGGTGTGGTCAGTGCAGGGGCTATTGCACCAGAGCCAGTTTGTACTGACAGAGAGATGTCTGGAAAGTACAGAGCAGTGCAGCAGAGATTCTGGCTGTGCCTAGAAGCTGCTGCGGAGTCACAGCATCCAACCTTCTTGGTCACCTTTGCCAGACCAAGGGCTTGCCTGCACTTGAAACGCTAAAGCAGCTGCACCGCTGTAGCGCCTGGTGTATGCTACCTAAGCTGGCAGGAGGGCTTCTCCCACTGGTGTAGGTAATCTACCTCCCCAAGACTTAGGTCAATTTAACAACATCGCTCAGGGGTTAGGATTTTTCACACCCCTAAGCAACATAGCTGGGTCGACCTAACTTTTTAGTGCAGACCAGGCCTAAGTCTTCAGCTGTCACAGTCCCCTCCCATTCATCACACTCACATAGTGTGACTCTCTCTCTCTCTAGTGTATAATGGTTAATGAGGCTGCTATAGCAGTTAAACCATGGAACGTGAGTTTAGATGATTGGATCCAGAGGTCCTGGGTTTAATTCTCCCAGATTATGGCCCAGCAAGAGCTGCTGTATTACACAGACTGGAATCTGCAATGGTGCTTGGGCAGCTCTGCATCTCAGTCTTCGCAAGGGCCAATTTAAGTGCCTGCAAGTGAACGGCAGGCGGGCAACAGCTGCACCACAGGGCCCAGCACAGTCAAGTAGTACCCATGAGGATCGGCTGGGGAACTCCAGGGTCAAACATGCCAGTACAGTTTAGATGCACTAGCCATTGGCAGGTCACTTCCCTAGTAAGGTGTTGGTTTGCTTACTCATCAGGCTTGTCGGTGGCTCATAGAGGACTTTAATTGAGGGACAATGTTTAAACCAGTAGCACTAGCTCTCTCAGAACCAGGGAAGAGATGTACTGAGAAAGAACCTGGGGGACTCTCCTCCCCACTTAAAATGTGCCGTAACCCCAAACAACTGCACATGTCAAAGGCCAATCTCCCCCCTCCAATGTGAGTGTAGTTGGTGGGGAGCCAAATGGCCTCACCTTTCCTCTATTGCACACATCCCCAACACCAACGCAGGTGAGCTGCAAGAAAAGGGAGGGACTTCAGAAACTAGGAAGTAGCAAAGGAAACATAGCCCAAAGTATTGATGTAAGTCTGCACTAGTGATCTTCCAGCCTTCAGGATCCTCCTCAAAGTCAGCATCCCTCTGACTGAGGACCAGTCTAACCTCACTCCTTCAGGCAAAGGAGTGAGGCTAGGCCCAATGGCAGAACCTGGCCTTCCCACGCAGAGCTTGGGGGCAAAACCCTCAGCACACTGCGGGAAGGACAAGGATGGGGGAGGGAATAAGAACTTTCTTTCCAGTGGCTGTTCAGCACTTTGGACAGCACTGCTTGCCCAGAGAGTGAGAGCCCAGGACTGGGGCGGGGAGCAGGGTCTTTGATGCAATTGTGCAGAGCCTCAGGACCAATCTCTGAAGGCTTTCCATCCCCACACAGCATTCCAGGCAAACAAACGGCACAGGCTCCAAAGAACACAGAGGAGTGGCAAACTCTGCCCCAACAGACCATTCCTTGGCAGGAGCGCACGGTCCAGGGCTTGCTATCATCATTCTTGTACACGCAGAGTTTCCCGTTGGTGTCCCCCACCACTAACTCGTTCAGCTGGAGAGAAGGGAAGAATGTTAATGATGGGAAATTCACACCCACCTTCATCAGCCCCAGGAGGGAAAAAGAAACCAGAATTCAGATGTAAAGCTGCAAAGCTGGAAGCAGTAAATGGAAAAGAAGAGAGAGAAAAGGGGAGACCAGAGATAACAGGAGAAGGAGGGAAGAGCAGCAGCAGTAGAGACATAAAAGACAACATTTTATTCCACCAGATAGTGAGGTGGTGAAGGGGGCTCCCTGGAGTCCCTTATTCAAATTCAACCATCAGGGAAGACTGGGGTGATTTCCCTGCCCCTCCCTGGACATTGTTAAATCAGCCCCATCAGAGATGACATCCTGGGGGCTGTTAAAAATGCTTTCTAAAACATTTGTTCAGTGTATTGGAGTGGGACTCAGAAGAGCTAGGTTCTACAACTGATGTACTGTCTGACCTTGTGCAAGTCACTTTGCTGCTTTGTGCCTCGGTTTCCCCTCCCACTCTTTGTTTAGAGTGTAAGCTCTTTGAGACAGGAACTGTCTTTCTCATGTACAACACTCAGCACCAAGGAGCCCTTATCTCAGCTGGGACCTATCAGCACTACTGTAATACAAATAAATAATATTTATACCTTTGAATGCACCAAGTGGCAGGGATTTCAAAAATATTTCCTGGGGCTGGCCATTCCCTACACCTCCTGCAAGCTCTCCTGGCCTCTTCCAGTTATGTGTATTGCATTATGCTAGCAATTTGCTCAGTATAATTTTCAAGAGCAAACTATAACTATTCCTTAGAGAGGGCAGTGACTATTAGTTGCCAAATGAAGCCGCTGCCTTCTATAGTTTTGATTAGGATAGATAGTTTGTGTTTAAGTGGGAAAACAAATTACATGTTCACGATGACTTGTGTTGCTAAGTGGATAAGCTGCTGCATTTTGTATGAAGTGGAGTGTTTTCAGGGTCAATGGCTTTGTTCCTGAATAGGAGTTGTAATAATCAAGGCTGGTGGTCACAAATTTCACTCAGGGAGCCTCATGGTGGCAGCTGACCAAAGTACCTCACTGCAATGCAAATCTAATGTTTGCTTCACATTAGATGGGAGGAACAGGAGTGTTTGAACTGCATTCCTGTGACCAGAGCAAGGGTTGGCACTGCTGCGATATGACCTGGGTCAAACTGGGGAGGCACAGGAATTTTTTTTATTTGAGGCTGCCACCTTGTACTCCAGAACTGATGGGTTCCTTTAATTATTAAAGTTTAATATAGATATAGCAAGAGAGAAAGTCTCTAACCCTTAAAGATGTGAAAATAATGGTCAAAATGTGAATTGTGTAAACCAGGGCAGCCCCACTTATTCCAAGAGGGTGTCAGCTCTCTCAGTTAGCAGGTGCCAGGGGGAGGGCAGTGCAGAGAGGGTGTCAAGGGGAAGTCAGCACCAGGCACCCAGGGGCAGTGCCAGGGGAAGGCAGCCCCAGGCAACGCAGGGAGGGTGCCAGGGGGAGGGCAGCACGAGGCAGCGCACCGCGCGGACAGAACTCATTATGCAAATACTGAGCCAGACCCCGCCCCCTCCTCCTGCAAATTCCCGCCGCCGTTCGCGCGCTCGCGCTACCCTCTCGCGCATGCGCCTTGTACACCACCCTCTCCGCTTTAGACTCTCCGCCCCCACGCCTCTTGTTACCGTATCGTTATCGGCGTCTCCCAGGCAGATGGCGTGGGGGAAGAGGCTCCCGCTGAACTCGAGCGCCACCCGCTGCACATAACTGACCGACCGCATCTCCCCGGCGACCATAGAGATGGTCTCTCTCTCTTGGGCGCCCCGGCTCTCTATGACACTGGGGGTGCTACGGAGGCTCTACGGGCTCAAATGCGCACGGGGGGGGGGGGAGAGTGAGGAGTAATCACGTGACGGGCCGGTCCCTGAAAGACCCGGCTCCAGCCTGTGGCCAGGCGGGGGCAGCAGAACGGGGCTCTCGGAGTCTCGCAGCCAGGGGAGGGCGGGAGCCGGGCTGGGGGTCACCCGCCTGGTCCCACGGGGGGCAGGGCCCTGCTCCACCTCCGGCCACCTGCACTTTGAGCGCACTGGTGGGGCCTGCAGCCTGAGCCCTCACAGTCAGGAGTCAGGAGACCTGGGGCAGCTCCCAGCGCTCACTGGCTGCGGGGGGGCGCTTGGAGCCGGGCCGCTGGCGGTGCAGAAACCGGGGCGCAGAGAACCCACCAGCTGGTAGTTGTAAAAAATCTCATGATTTGAGAGCCAGTCTCAGTCTGTGGGGGCCCGACTCATCAATTGTGAAGAGTTGGATTAGGGACTCGCTGAGGGCATCAAGGGGGGGTGGGGTGAGAAGGGAAGAGCCCAGCTCAGCTCTCTGATCCCAGGGTGAATCCGACAGGCTGGCAGTTAAAAACACACCTCTTCTTACTTGTAAATTGAGCACACTGGCTCTGGAGTCACTGAAACCCACAAATCATGGAGCCCTGTGATGCCATTTTTGACACTTGTCTGAGCCCAGCTTCACTTCAATATAAAGATGAGACCCTGGTGACTCCAGCTTCTGGCATGTAGTACTCCATGAGGCTACTCACAGAAAGCATATGCTGGAACCTCTGCTTTCTCTGGGCTGTACGAACACTGGACTAGAAATTAGGAAATCAGAATTCCCAGCTCTCTAATTTGCAATGTGACCATGGGCAAATCAGAGGTCTCTTCCCCAACTATTAAATGGGAATGATGATGTTTACATTCCTTTTTAAAGCATGGTGAGGTCTCCCACTAAGATGATTATGAATTGTTGTGCTGCAGTCGCTGCAGTGCAAATGACTGAAATCTCCACCTGCATTGTCCTGTGGCAGAAGCAACTTCTTTGAGCAGGTGTAGTGGTACAAATGAAAAGCAATATATAAGTACTATTATAGAAGATGGTAGAACTCTGAGGTCCAGTTTTGGGCTATGGATCCTGTGTAAAACATCTCCTGCTGAGCTTGTTACATAATCAGCTCTGTGGAGGTGCTTGCAGGTCCAGAAACTCTCAGTCTAATCCAGGCAGTGTTCATATTTTACAGGTGGGGAAACAAACCCCGAGACCATTGACTGGCTGGATGGCCTTGACCTGTGTCCCCACCTTTAAATTGACAATATCTACATGTGTCTTTGGTGAGGAAGGTTAATGACATACAACCAGAAATTCTCTCTTCTGAGTTGTTTTTATGCTTGTGGAGCATCAGACAAGGCCAACAGAGCAATTCTTCCCTCAAACCATTTATTCAACCTTTGAGTGTGTCAATATTCAAAGCCTTTAAAGGGGTAGGGACACTGTGGGCCTAGTTCTCCTCTTACTCCCACTACTGCAAGCAAGGAGGAGTTAGCATCACTGAAGTCAATGGAATGACAGAATACTAAGTTGGAGGAGAAGGCGGTCATATATTTCCAGTGGGCACCAGGCAGCAAAGAGGGAGCTCTCCTGATTGTCTTTAAGAACAGAGTTTGCATAGTCTAAGTAATTTTAAAAATCCCTATTCAGTAGCTTCATTTTCTGTCTTCCTGACATCTTGGGGCTGTCTCAGGAAAATAGAATAAATCTTAACCGGAACAGATGCTAGAAGACCCAATTGTTTTTTCCATCAGAGCAGGGATGTTTGTTCTGGTTTCTTAGCCAAATTCCAACTCCAACTATATGTCTACTTCCTTGAAATTCTGCCTCATAACTTCAGTTGGGAGACTGTTCTTCATAGCTTGTCCTATACTGTCACACAGTGTTTCTAACGTTCCACTCAAGAGGTGGCTGCACTGCAGTACAGAAGGAAATGGGTTTTTGGCACATACAGTCTGATTCTTCTCCGATTTACACTAGAGTAAATTAGGAGTAATTATATTTAAGTCTGGTTTCAGAGTAGCAGCCGTGTTAGTCTGTATCCGCAAAAAGAACAGGCGTACTTGTGGCACCTTAGAGACTAACAAATTTATTAGAGCATAAGCTTTCGTGGGCTACAACCCACTTCTTTGGATGCATATAGAGTGAAACATATATAGAGGAGATATATATGCTCTCTGTATGCCACAAGTACTCCTGTTCTTTTTACATTTAAGTCTGTGGTGTTACAGGGTATAAGTGAGATCAGAATCAGGCCCAATGTCTGTAAAGTGGGTCAATTCAGGAGGAAAGGCAGTTACAGTAGAACCTCAGAGTTACGAACACCAGAATTCCGAACTGACCGGTCAACAGCACACCTCATTTGGAACCGGAAATATGCAATCAAACAGCAGAGACCAAAATAAATAAATACTGTACAGTACTGTGTTACATGTAAACTACTAAAAAATTAAAGGAAAGGTTTTAAAAAAATTTTTTTGACAAGGTAAAGAAACGATTTCTGTGCTTGTTTCATTTAAGATGGTTAAAGCAGCATTTTTCGTCTGCATAGTAAAGTTTCAAAGCTGTATTAAGTCAGTATTCAGTTGTAAACTTTTGAAAGAACATTTTGTTCAGTTATAAACATTTCAGTTACAAACATCCTCTCTTTCTGAGGTGTTCGTAACTCTGATGTTCTACTGTACATGCATTTCAATGAAAGTCATAACGTACATATTGGTTCAGATGAGTGTGAGATTTTTTTCCTTTCCTTGAAATTCATTCTGGGCTGTTTCTTTCTCCACCTCATTATACAACCCCCCGCTCCCTTTCTCCAATGGAAGGACAAAGGGGCATTTCTACCTATCTTCTCCCCTCAAGGCAAAGATCTCCATCCTATATCTAAATGAAGGATGTCTGCTCCAATATTCTGTCCTGCCTAAGTGGACATTCCACTTAAGACATCCAATGCGTGGTTTCGCAAGAACTCTGCCCTCAGGGTGAACCCACCTACTCCTCTCCCCCTACTGTGTAGCTACAAAAGGAAAAGTGCTTCCCCTTGGTTTCACTCCAGGTAGCAGGACAACCAAGACAGATAAATTTAGAACAGTGCTACATTCCATGCCTGCAGCCAGGAAGCACACTTCACAGTTGGGAGGGGGGGTACAACACATAACAGCTTCCCTGCAGAGCAGTTAACAGGAGTCATTTCCCTACTTTCTTCTCAACAGCTTATGCTTAAGATTTAAAAATCCTGCATATGTCTAATGGTCTAACTTTAACCACTGCTGCTGTCCCTTTAAAACTGATGCATCAGTGAAGGGTATTTTTGCAGGCCCAGCTAGGCACTTCAGAAACTGAGTCTGTTGATAATGCTCCCATGAATAGAGATGCCATGTGCAGAAGCTGTCGGCACCGATTTCAAACCGGACTCCCAGTTTTTCTAGGAACAGTGAGAAATTCATTTTTCCCCCTTGCAATTAGTGGATGGAGAGAGCAAATCTTTTATAATAGTGAATGTAGTGAACATTGTATAATACAGGCATTTATTAAAACTACCATGGCTAAGGGCTGGTCTATACTTAGCCGCTAGTTCGGCGGCTGGGGATCGAACTTCCGGGTTCGATTTATCGCGTCTGGTCTGGACGCAATAAATCGAACCAGGAAGTGCTCGCCGTCGACTGCGGTACTCCATCTCAACGAGAGGAGTACCGCGGAGTCGACGGGGGAGCCTGCCTGCCCCGTGTGGACCGCGTCTGAACCGCGGTAAGTTCGAAGTAAGGTATGTCGACTTCAGCTACGTTATTCACGTAGCTGAAGTTGTGTACCTTACTTCGACTTGGGGGGTTAGTGTAGACCAGGCCTAAGATGCAGCTGCATGACTGGGAAGGTTTGGTATAGTTCGGGGATGCTGGGAGAATCAAGTTCTTTCATAGAGCTGTGCACATCCTGCTTAAAAACACAAATTCGACTTCTGGGAGTTTTTCTGCTTTATTGCTTAAGCTTTGACTTCACAGTCTTCACCTTCAGCAATGTGCAAAGAACGGGCATACAAGGAAGGTTACAACACTTACTCATGGGAGGGGGTCTCTGCTTTAACAGAGGCAACAGCAAGGAGCAAGATGGAGGCGGAAAAATTCGGTGCAGTGATTTGTTCATAAGTCTCTCAGGTGAGGACTCTCTCGGGAAAGGCAGATTGCTTTAAAAGAAAAAATCAAGGAAATAGGTTTAGGAAGCAGGACTGGGATTAGAATGAGCTGGGACCACAAAAAAAGAGACACACCAATGGCAGAGTGAAATGAAACTGAGCAGAAGGAATTCTGACAGACCTCCCGACAACAACAGAGAGCTAGAATGAATAAATAAAGTCCCTAGGATTACACCAGATCTGGGCCGCCACCAAGTTTCCTACACAGACATACACACGAAGCTGTAAATGACTGCGGTGTCGTGGCCCCAGCCTCTGCTCCCCTGAAGCCACCATCCAACCAGATAGAAAAATAAAGGTCTAATTCACTGGAAATTCTTCAGTTTACAAAACTAATGGAATTGGGTTTGTTTTTATGCTTCTGCATCAACTTGTGATTTATCTTCGACTCCGTTCTGTTTCTCTTCTTTCATGTCTGTGTCATCTTTGCAGCTGCCAGTGGTCTGGAGGGTTTCAGCTTCTGGCTACATGGGAGACATTGAAAAAACTGAGCGAAACGTTCACCCCTTCCCCACTCTTATCACTATAACAGAGATTAATTTGGTGCTCATCAGCAGGATATCTGGGCTCCCTAAGGGGTTCAGCTGAGACTCAGGATCTCAGTAAAGGAGACCATGCACTCTGCTTTCCTCAAGTTTTATCAGTTAGCTAGGAAACCAGGAGCAGTTAGGGAGGCCTGGGCAAAGAGGTGCTTCTTGCAATTCTTCCTAAATGAGGCCAGGTTCATGCAGGGAGCAACAACATGCTCATGCTTCTGACTCCACTTTGGCTCTGAATCATGAGGATTTGTAAAAGAACATTTCCAATCTACACAACCCTCTGTGCTGCTTGGCTCTGACAACGCGGCCAAACCTGGTACCAGAGGGCTGCTTCCATTCTCCGCAGATGCAATGCTAGGGAGTCCTCCCTTTGTACCACTGGCAGCGCTGAAGATGGCAAGCAGAATGCCCCAATCCCTGTTGCCTCTTTTCCCACATGTACCCATTCAGTTCTCCCAGGGTTTTGCTACCACTTACCTTGGAGTCCTTGTCTGCAAGCCTCTGGAACATGTTGGCATACATCTTCTTCTCTCTCTCGTGCTGCTCCCGGATCTTTTGCTGACAGGCTAGTAGCTGCACTTTGGCTGCTTTGTTGCTAGGGTAAAGTTGTAGCACCTTCTGGAAATCTGCCCGGGCCAATTCAAAGTCATTGACAGCTAGATGGGCCTCGCCACGCCGGAAAAGGCCTTTCTCATTGCTGCTGTCCAACTCAAGCGCCTGGATAGGAAGGGAGCAGCAGGCTGAAGTTTGGTTTCAGGAAATACAGCCAGACAATCAGCAGGAGACACTTATGGGATGAGCTTGCTTATTTTACAGGGTAAATGCTCCAGGAATTCTGGGCTTGGTAAGAGAAAGGGAGGCAGTGTGGTGTGGCAGCTAAGGCATCTGACAAGGAATCAGGAGATGTGGGGTCTAGTCCTGGCTGGGCCACTGACTTCCTGTGTGACCATGGGCAAGTCGTCTAACTGCTCTGTGCCTCAGTTTCCCTATTTGTAAAGTGAAGCTTACCTTCCTTTCTAAAGTGCCTAGAGATTCTCAGACAAGAAGCTATTAAAAAATCTCCCACAGAGAATGAAGATGGAAAAGAATAATCATTTCCACTGAGGAATTTGATATATTGGCCCTTCCCAGGTGTGGACACAGAGTAAGAGAGAGGCACAAACCCACCACAGTGATTTGTGTTGCCCAGTTAGTTACAGCACGGTCCAGCTGCTCTGCCCACTTTGCTCACCAGGGTGTATAAAGCCTTGTTACCTTGCTGCAGTTTTCCAAGGCCAGGGAGTACTCCTTCAGCTTGAGATGGCACATGGCCAGGTTAAGGAGGGCAGCAAGCCTCAGGCTCTTGGCCTTTGCATCATCCTCTTCAGAGAAGCCTGTTTCGTGCTCCAGCCAGGACACAATCTTCTTATATTGTAATGTTGCCTGTTTGTACTTCCCTTCCTGTAGTCAATAAAGTTGGAGTTAGTCCATCTCCACCCTCCTCTTCACAACACTCTCTACTCCCTTTTTCAACCCAGGAACAGCTACCTTAAGGTGAACAGAGAATATTTTCTGTGGCCAAACTCCACACAAGTGCTGTACGTGAAGATAAAATCAATATAAGGGCCAGATACGAATACGCTTCTGGGTGGTTGTGCAAAAAGCCCAGGAACAGGCCAGAATCCCACTGGGGAGCACAGTCCCCCATGAGTGCCAGTTGTCTGAAATAGAGCAGGGAAAGGCAGGATACCACTGTCCCCCCACTGCACCAGCTGTCACAACTGGTTAGATGCAGGGTGAGGAGCATACTGTACTCTCTAGGGGTAGTGTAGCTACCACTCTGGCATGTGTGCCATGGAAGCGCCCAAGAAGAAAGCAACCATAACAGCTAAAGCTCCTCCTGGGGACTCCAACTGTAACATGGCCTCTTCAGGCCCCCATCGGTGGGCAGAATCTTGCCCATGTGTAGCACTGTTTCATGGCAGCTTTGCCACATTGTTCCTGCACAGTGGAGAACTCCCTGTAGAGCTGCAAAAGCCCAAGGGTCATTAACCCCAGCCATATAACGGAGGAAAATACCAAGTGGGTACAACCTGCAAGGCTCAACCTCCAGCTCTTTGTCCCCAGGGAAAGTGTAGAATGGACACCAAGGAGAACTCCCTAACAGGACAAAAAAACTCCAAGGCCCATCCTCCAGCACCCGAGAAAAAACTAAGACAGCAGCACATTGCATGCAACATGCCATCAATGTGTGAGACAGCCCTGTGAAAGGGTCTGCTCCAGCACCAATACTGGCCTATAGCAGGGACTGGGCAATGCTGACCACACGCAGGGAGGACTGTAACTTACCTTGAAGTACTGAGTACCTCTCTCCTTCACAATGGAGCTTTGTTCCAGCTTCTCTTCTGTATTCATCTCCCAAGATTCCTTAGCCTGTCCAGACAGAAACAGTTCAGTCAGCCATCTAATTTTGGAAGAAACTGTGACGCTGGCAGACCAGGTGCCAGCTCATGCCAAGGTCTCCATGTCTCAACTCAACACTGACAAATACAGAGCTGGAATCAGTTTGACTCAACTGTGTGTTAGTATTGTTAAAACAGGTATGAGAGTTGTAAGAATGTGTTTAGTGTTTACACTTTACTGAATGCTTGTGAGTTGTTGCAGGCGTTAATCTCACGTAAAACATGTGTATCCTGTACTGTACGATAATATTTGAACACTTGTATTGAGAGCCTCTGGGACTGTGTAAATCACCAGACAAGAGAAAAACATTAACTGGTGTAAAGTGCTGATCTGCAATGGAAGGCGTTGCATCCTACCCAACAGGAAAAGTCCATTGACACCAGACATACTATTGTGGGATGATAAAGAAGATAACAGATGTTTGTTATTTTGCCTCCTCACCCCCCTCTCCCTGTGAAGATGCTGAGCTTGCACCTCAGAGCAAAAGGGGTAAGGGGAAATCACACCAAACAGAAGGAAATCTATGCTGCTTGAACTGTGGAGGGCAAGGTTTACTAGGCGTAAGTGAGAGATTCCCAGTGGTTAACCTGGGTTAGCGCTAAAGGTCGTGTAGAGCTTGCTTATTATAGAAACTTCTATTACTTTTCAAAACTTAAGATTTTAACTCATTTGTGTATCTGTTTAGTTGCTTTAACCTTGTAAATAACTCCTGTTTCCTCTTCCTACTTAATAAATCTTTAGCTAGTTTATTATAGAATTGGTTACAGGTATTGTCTTTAGTGTGAGAGCTAAGGCACAACTGATCTGGGGTAAAGTGCTGGTCCTTTGGGACTGGGAGTGACCTGAATATTGCTGTGATTCTTGGTGTAAGGGACGATCTACCACAAAAGTACGCTCACCAGGGTGGCAAAATAGACTGAAGTACCCAAGGGGACTGTCTGTGACTCCATGATTAAGCTGTTATAGTGCTTGAGGAGCTTACACTAGATAACTGGTTGGGGAAATCTAAGTATAAAACTCATAAGCAGTGTGGGGTTTGTGCCCTGCTTCCTAACAGTCTGCTCTGAGGTTGGTACTCAGGCTCTTGAGTCACTGCAGGCAGCATTACAGAAATCAATCGGTATTTGCTGCATCTTTTTATGGAGTAAGGAGAGGAAAGAAGGCATGGAAGAATGGGTGGAGGTATTGCCACTGAGCATGAGGGAACTGGATTACAGCAGGAGACATGCTGCTCAAAGCAGATTGGGTCCACTGAGAATACAGGGGATTTCGGCCAAGGATTCCTATTCCCACTTCACCTTCCATAGATTTATTATTTTTCCCATCCTCAGCTGATCAAAGTTCACCTCTTCCTCCTGCTCTCTCAGGGAGAGGCTGTATCCACACACACCTCTCTCCCCGTCCCAACAGGACTTCATCCTTTTGTTCTTACCTTTTCAAAGCTTTTGAGTTTCACTTCATATTGCAGATCTGCATTTGGAGGGATCTGAAACTTCTCCTTCCCAGCACTCCCAAAACCGTAGCTGTAACAGAAATAAGTGGCTTCTAAAGAATCCAGCTAGACCTGTTCTCTGTTAGGGAAGCAGGAGCCAAGAGAACATGCCTATATAGATGCACCAAATTCACATTCTGCTCAGTGTTACGAAAGACACAAAGGCATGAGCAGTTTTTGCCTAAAAACAGCAGGGGTGACTGTGTGGGATTGGAATGCAAAGTCTTTCATCTCTAGGTTACCAGTTTGTATTGATTTTGGGTCACCCAAAGTTATTACCATCTCATGGCTGTTAGATGGCCTCTATGAAATGAGTTTGCTGGTCTCAGTTCAGTTCCTAGTGGACGTGACCACACCATAAAATTACTGGTAACTGGCACTAGATGCCTCCCTTGTTGTGAGGCCAAGCATTTAATGAGCTTGGACACTGAACTACCTCCTCCCATCTGCAGGTAGTCCCTCAAGCTCAGGTGCCAGCATGTTGGGGTGGGGGAGCATGTCTAGCTGCTGCCTGTGCTCTACCCATTCTGAGAATAAACAAGAGGACTCTGGTCCCAACTACTGTTTAACCTGCATCGTTCACTACCACTAGATTCAGTTTAAAATATTTCAAAACCTAAAACAAGCCAGGGTTTGCTGGAAACTATGAGGACAAACTTTTCTCTTGCTTGCAACCCTGCTATGGAGCCTGCATCTCCCCCTTTCCACAGAATCTGTCTTATTTCCTTGGAAAGGGGAACTACTACTTACATGCAGGACCATCAAAAAAGTTGCCCTATCTGGCTCTCCATACCCCAGGCCCAGCCATTCTCAGCTCACTCAAGAACATGTATCTTTGAAACAGCTCCCCTGATGGATGCAGGGTTTGGACAGAAACTGGTCTTGTTTCAGAGAAAGCGGAGAGGTTCTTTCTTCTCTCCAAAGGCCTCACAAAATGTTCATAGCTGTTCTATCAGCAAAGGGATTTTAGAACAGCCTCTCTCCTAACCTCAGCATACATTTTTTACATCTCTCCCTAGCCTCTGAAGCTGGATTAGCTAGACTATTGCTCTGTTCTGGTACAGCAATCCCTATGTTCCTAAATGATCTCTATAGTCAATTCTACTCTTCCACCACAACAGTGGGGAATCCAGCTCATGCCCACTCACATTCCAGTTTGGCTGCTTCTTCAACCGGCGTCTCAGCTGGCTAGATACTTCCCAGATATCAGGTTTCTGGGGCCATCCAAATTTTGACCAGGGTATTTTGGGAGGTGAAGGGGCAGAACTACACTAATTAGAAAACACACCCACTCCTCCGAGCTGCAAACACACCCAGAATAATCAGAAGACAGAAGTATTGGGGCCACCTTGGGCCAGGGTCACAGTCTAGTGAAACCACTGGAGTTCAGCAGGTGCTTACCTGGGTTTGAGATGCACCACAGATTCCTCTGACTTCTCCATTCTCTGAATTGCTTGTTCCAGGCCAGGAGGAAGGTCATAATTTTCTCCTTCTCCAATCTCAAACCGCAGCTCCCGCTTGTCAAACACCCTATCTCCATATCGACCTTCTAGCTGGACTGAGATACAAAAAAATCCCACAGGCAGGTTAGAGGGTATCTCATAGACTCATAGACTTTAAGGTCAGAAGGGACCAATATGGTCATCTAGTCTGACCTCCCGCATGATGCAGGCCACAAAAGCTGACCCACCCGATTTCCCTTATCTCAGCTGTTGAAGTCTCCAGATCGTGATTTATCTAGAGCAGCGAGAGAGAAGCTAGCAGAGGGAACCAGGAGAATGCCAGGCTTCCTTGTAAAAAGCAACTTCTTCCCCTTAAAAAGACTGTCTGGGCAGCAAATGTAACATCTGGGGCTAAACCCAATAAACCCTTTCACTTGCACATCTGGGTTGTCTTCTTTGTGCAACACTGAACAAATGTCAGAACCTTCCCCTTGCTCTCTATCTTCCTGAAAAATGTCTGGCTCTTCTTGTCAAGGAGGGTGGGCACCTGAGCAGCCCTACAAAGCCTCCTGAGTCCCCAAGTCAGGTTTCTGGTAGAAGGATAAAAGCTGTCCAGCAGCAGAATGAGAGGTGGTTTTGGAATGGCTCCTTTGCTTCCTAGTGGCCTGCCATCCCTCCTGCTACCCACGCACAAGGCAACTTCCTTTAATATTCCTGCATTTACCCCCTGAAACAGACTTACCCTCTACAAGGGCTCCCTCATTTGGCTTGGAGTAGCCTTCGCCCTTCGTACGGATTCTTCGGATTATTCCGCCGTCTTCATCCTCTGTGAGATCCTCTCCCTTAAACTCAAACAGCTCTATCTGCAGAGGAAAGGACAGCCTTACATTAATTCCTGTAGTGTCAACGCAGCAGTCTTGTGTAGTTCAGTCCCCAGTCATGAGAGGAAAAGCAGCAGCAGAGAGGCCTTTGAAAATCCTGCTGCCCATAAAGGACTGTACATCTCAGGCATCCGACAACTAAGGCTGGGGCTACTGACATATGCAGAGTGCACCTACCTTTCTGGAGGATGGAGACAGAGCAGCTCAGGTGTTTGTGATTATATCTAGCCCTCTACTGGCTGGAAGCCCCCAAAGAACATAAAAGCCTGAATACAATGGACCATTAACAAGCTTTGTGATCACACAGACCTGCCTTCCATGTACTGTTTAACTGACAACAATGATGCTGTGTGAAGTCAGAATGACACTTTGGGCGAGATCTAGCCCTCTTCCTTCCACAGGCTGATTAAAAGCAGTGTGTGTTTGTGTGGGAGGGGGTAGAGGTGAGCGTTTACATCAAATACCCCTTGGAACACAGGCAGCACAGCAGAGGTAACATTAAAGACTAGCATTTTAAAGCTTGATGGACGTGCTCATGGTTGCCGCTTTGGTGCTGAGGTAACGCGCTGGAACTCAGTGCACTACGAGCGGGCACGGCCATGACCTGCTCTTGGATAGGAATCTGGAGGGAACAGAAAAGTTAAGTGGGTCAGGGCTGGACACGAGCCAAAAAGAAGAGGTGGAAATGGAAAAGATGGGCAGAGAGAGCAGGGGGTGAGGGGGAACATGCAGAGAAATCAAGCTATGTGAGCTGAAGCAAGCTGCTCACTTGCGGCCTGATCCTGCTCTCACTGACGTCAATGGACAAACTCCTATTGACTTCAATAGGCACAGGATTGGAGCCCCACTCAAGACAGATTCCAAGGGGCTGGTCCCACGGGATCAAAGGAAACCCAGGAGGAGCTCTTCAGGGGTCTAGACAGAGCTGAGGCTCAGCCCAGTTTTATCTCAGCAGAATTCAGTGATTCCCAACCTATATTCATTTGCCCTCCTTCTCTCCTTGTGATAGATTGGTGAATGAGGGTCCCCCATCCTCCATATTATCCTTCTCCTAGGCCCTAGCACACTTGCTGCTCTCATTTTATTTCCATCCATGTTCTTCTCTAGTCTTGCCCACCCTGAAGCGAAGGGGGCCAGGTTGGGAAATGCTACGTTTCAGGTGTACTGAGGAGGGTGAAGCCAAACTGACTCTGAGTGTGTAGGCTTGCTGGAAGGGAAATGCAAACTGCCCCTGTTACAATTGGAAATTGACCTGGCTGGAACATGAACCTGAGTTCTCAACGATAGTGTGGCATGAGAGTCTAGTTCCAGATTTTTAAGAATTGATAATTCTTCCCCTGAGGTATCTGGCTTGAGTCACTGTTGGGAACAGGATGGACCAGCAATCTGATCACCTATGGCAAGTCTTATGTTATGACAATGGTAACAAGAGGTTGTTTTGACCAATAAACATGCTGTAGTGAGACTGATGGTAAAAATAAAGAGGATAAATGAGCAACACGGTTGTTATAATCAGCCTTGTTTAGACTAACGCACCCTGTTTTAAGATGGCAAACAAATTTGCCCAAGGTCATTGCGGTGGAGGCTCACAGAATGGAGCAGAATGTCTGGATCTGGAAAGGTGTTGACACTTGAAAACAGTAGAACACTGTTCTACTTGCACAATTTGATGACACTTCTCTCTTGGGACTTTCTTTTAAGGGATAATTTTGAGCGGTGATCAGCCTTTGATTCCAGTTAATTCTTTCTCAACTTGTTTGGGCTCCTGATCCCAGATTAACACTCTGTCCAGAGAGAAATGGGAGAAAGACCAGAGTAGGACAAGCCAATTTATTCCACAACACTTTGCTGATGACAAGCCTTTGTCCCAGGTTCCATAAAGAATTTGAAACCCTATGCTAGCATGTATCTATCTAGCTTTTTCACACTCTGTCCTAGCCCTCTCTGTTTTACTTTCAAATACATATTGAATCTGGCAGAAGGACAGAAAAATGAGAAATGAGTCCAGCCTGTGACCAGTGCCAAATGCTGGCGGGGTGAGGAGACAGCTGCTCAATCTCTAACTGCACACTCCTGAGCCTACTGTGTACAAAGCCAGTCATGAGAAGGCGCTTTCATTTCTGTTTCTCACTAACCCTCTTCCAGAATGCACTGTGCTTCTCCCTCTTTTTTCAATGGCATGTAATGTCACTGCAGGAGAGCCGGGACTTTCTGATTGAGACACTTTAGGAAGGGATTCGCCCCTCCCTACAGAAAAGGGAATTGTTCCACAGTAACTGCTCATTTGGTTTGGATTTTCAGAACTAGCTTTAATTCCAAGCCATAACTGGCTTTAATCCTTTGGGTGTGTCTAACAACTGTTGGAAAGATTTCCTGGGTCAGAGTCTCCCCACAATCCAGACTATAGCACTGCTCAAGTGGCAATGCAGGGTTGGCTAGTAGCTTTATCCAGCCAGCTGAGAAGCCCCTTGTTTGGGGACGGAAACTCTCAATGGGCATAAAGCTGGTTCCATACCAGGGGTTGTCAAATTGGGGGTCAGGACCCCTCAGGGGGTTGCAAGGTTATTACATGGGGGGTCATGAGCTGTCAGCCTCCACCCCAAACCCCGCTTGGCCTCCAGCATTAATAATGGTGTTAAATATATAAAAAAGTGTTTTTAATATATAAGGGGGGGGGTCACACTCAGAGGCTTGCTGTGTGAAAGGGGTCACCAGTACAAAAGTCTGAGCACCGCTGTTCTATACCATCCCTCACACTTGTCCCAGGTGTAAGGAGAGAGAGGGGTCCTGGCTGGAGCACTGCTGTTCTCTAGAAATTCTCAGCTTGCAGATGGTCCCTTGAGGACTGTGACCAGCTGGGGTAAATTAGAACAGCCTACCAGGAGCACACTGGACCTACACAGGTCAAAGAAACAGGGAGTTATAACCAGTTGAGGGCCTGCTCCCCTCTCCTGCAGAATGTGGCTTCTTTTGGCTAGCAGATTATCACTTTGTAACATCATTCCAACCGTACAATTAACTGGCTAATGTGCGGGTGGTAATAAAGGGAAATTTACATTCTGGGGCCTTGTTTTCATAAAAAGGAAAATTACACTGGCTTAGTTAAATGGGTTTAGAAACTGATTTAGTAAATCAGTGCAACCCTGTGGCATGGACACACTTACTTTGGTTTAAGGGCCTTATCGATTCCTTCACTGACTTCAGCTAAATCGGGATCAGGTGCAGAGGGCAAGGAATAGGGAGCTCTATGTCTGGGGGATGGTTCCCTCTTTCATTGCTCATCTGGATATAGGGCAGGGAAGGGGTAGGCAGATGGGTGGAAGGACTCCTACTGGGAAAAGAAAGGCTGGAGGCCCCAACTCACTGCTTAGAACACTCAGTACTAGAGCACTCATGTTAAGAGTCTGAGGCATAACAGCAGCAGGGGGAAGCAGGAGGCAGAGGACAGGAAGGAGCAGGTTGAGGTTAGTGAAAAGCAAGACTTCAGTTCAGAAGAGAAGTAGTCATTTTTTGGAATTTTTCTCCTAAGGTTCTCAGGAAAGTCATTCGCATCATATTACTGGAACTTATTTCTTTATAGAAAAGCTCCTCCCAGTCTACTCAGCACAAGCATTTGGAAGATCAAAACACATTTCTCACCAGGCATAAAAGCTGTAGTGTATTTGCAGTCTCTGCTGGGTTAGAATCAAGCTGAGCCACTTAAAATGATTATAATGATTTTCTCACCAGAGCTTTAATGTTACTTCTCTTTTTGCATGAATAAACTGCAAAAAAACACTTTAGTCGGAAAGGTCTTGTATCCCCACAGTGCAGGATGCAGGGTACTGTTGACTCCTGGGCCTTAAGGTATACAAGACAGTGGGCTAATCTTATTTTTTGAGCTAGTAGATCAGAACAAGGCAGCATTTTTCAGTGGGACAGGGAGGAATGTAAACTCATCTCTTTGATGTAACTGGTATTCTTATCACAGTCCCTCTTGGGGATATAAACCAGGTTAAATTCTCTGAGGCAGACTGCCTCCCTCCCATGGGGAAACTCACATGATGAGGCAAAGAGGGAGGAAATCTGAGAGGATTCCATCATAAACTTCCTCCACAGACATTCCATTAGGGGAAACAGGCCACCGCTCCAAGCCAGGCACCATGCACATCCCTACAAATCCACAGGCACATCCGTACGGAAGGCCTGTGGTCTCCACAGCAGTGCATTTCAGTGGAGCCACCCAGCCAAGGACTCTCCTGGATCTCCCTTCAAAGGGGAAATCCCTGGCTTGGAGGAATGATCTCAACAAAAATGATAGAGTTTTGGGCTAGGAAAGTCCTCAAGGTGGGGAGGGAGATCATGTATGCATTGGGAGAGGTGTTTTAGGGGGGCTCCTAGCAGAGCCATAGGAGTATTTTGTTTTGCAGGTAATCTGACAGACTTCTCCAATCTTCACAGTAAAGTCCCAGGCTTTTGATCGCCTCATCTGAACACATCAGAACCTCTGAACCAATGCGCCTATGAATGTGCAGGGATGAGCATGGTTTCTGGGTAAGAGACCTGTGGCCTGTTCCCCCCACTAGAACATCTGGGAAGGAAGGGAAGTATGCGATGGAATCGTCACACTACAAAACATGCTCCTGGACCTGCCTTAAAGGGGGAATCCCTGGCTTGGAGAAATGAACTCAGGCCAAAGCTCTAATCAGTTTCTGCTAGGAAACGGCACAAGGCGGGAAGGGATGATGTGCACTTCTCCAACCCTGCCCCCCACGCAACCACTTCCCCACTGTTGACAGAGGCAGCTGACAGCATCCTCCCTTTCTACTTTGTATTCACTTTAGGGGGTGCTGTTTGTAGGAGGGGGAAAGAGGAGACCTCTCTTTGCTAGGAAGGGTAATCTGGGCTTGGAAACACATCACAGAGACTTCGGCCTAGATCCTCGAAGTTATTTAGGCACCTAATTCTAATTGATGTCAATAGGAGTTAGACACCTAAATACC